CACACGCAGGCACACACACACACACACATACAAAACACATACGAAACACACACAGACACACACACAGACAACACACACAGAACAGACGCACACAGACGCGCACAGACGCACAGACACGCTCAGACACGCACAGACACACACACACACACACACCCACACCCACACCCACACCCACACCCACACACACACACACTCACACACACACACACACATACAAAACACATACGAAACACACACAGACACACACACACAGACAACACACACAGAACAGACGCACACAGACGCGCACAGACGCACAGACACGCTCAGACACGCACAGACACACACACACACACCCACACCCACACCCACACCCACACCCACACACACACACACACACCACACACCACACCACACCACACCACCCCACGCCACGCCACGCAACGCAACGCAACGCAACGCAACGCACCACACACAACACACAACACACAACACACAACACACAACACACAACACACAACACACAACACTCAACACACAACACGCAACACGCAACACGCAACACGCAACACGCAACACGCAACACGCAACACGCAACACGCAACACGCAACACGCACACACACACAACACGCAACACACAACACACAGAGACACGCGCACCCACGCACCCACGCAAACAGACGCATGCAGACGCGCGCCCACACCCACAAAGACTCGCACAGGTGCACACGCCCACATGACACACACACACACACACACAGCACACACACACACACGCGCACATGACGCACACACACACACACACACCCCGCCCCCCCCCCCCCCCCCCCCCCCCCTCCCCACACCCACACACCCGCACCCGCACACGCGCACGCAAGCAGACGCACACGCGCGCACCCACGAGCACTTGCCCACGCACACACACACACACCCTCACACACACACACACCCTCACCAACACAGCCCCACACACACAGACGGACACAGAGGCACACGCGCATTCACACAAGGGCACACGGCACGGACACACCCACAAAGACACGCACGGCGCGCACGCGCACATGCTACACACACAAAGACACACACACACACAGCACACACACAGACACACACACACACAGGCGCACAGACACACAGACACACCAACACACCAACACACTGACACACACAGACACACAGACACACGCAGACGCACCAACACACCAACACACCAAAACACACACACACACGGACATGGACACGGACACAAACACATGCACGTTCACGCGCCTCGCCCTTCCCTGCCCTGGACCCTGCCCTGGCCCCTGCCCCTGCCCCGGCCTGCCCCGCGCCGCACCCGCCTGTTCCGGGCACACACGACCGCCCCTATGCATGTCGCACATGTCGCGCATGTCATACACACACACACACACACACACGCAGACACATGCGTGCTTTGGAAAGCGCACCCATCCCGCGCCCGCGTCGTTTTTACCTGCGCCATCCCGCAACTTGCCTCAAGTCAAGGTACCTTCAGCTACGCCGACCCGGATTCAATTTCCGAGCAGGTGCAGGGCATTTCTTGGTTCGAGGAGGCCAGTCTCTACACCGCCCCTGGGCAACCAAGCTAGACGGCCAAGCGGCACGGTGAAAACTGTTGCAGTAGCGCCGCAGTTACTGTCAACAGGATCAATACAACTTAACGAGGTTAGAGGACCTGGCTTCGTCGACGTGCCCTTAGCGAGCCTGTGGTTGGACTTGCGTGGGGTCCCACAATGCCAGGCTAGCCTACCCGAATATTGAAGGATGTCAACATTCGATTGTGTAGGCATTTGCCTGTTTGGGAATGTAACAACATCAAAGTCCTCTTGTTTGGATCGTTGTTGTGAAGGACAAAGCCAGTGCTTAGCCAATTTGACAACTAGGTAGCAGAAAGTGGTTGACGCACAGCCATTTCAGATCAAACCACCTAACACATACAAGTCGAAAAGGGTTAAGGGCCAAGGATTGGACGGACTTAGCCTTTCAGCGGGGCTGAGCCCGGCACCAAGGATGGTCTGCTGCACCAGTCTTCGCTCATTTCCAAGACATTTGCAGAGACCTTCATTTTGGCGGGCAGTGCATCTCGGGTGGCAGGGAAGCTATGCCCGCCCCAATTCCAAAAAATGAATTGGGCGAGGGGCCTGTGCACCCCAAAACTCCCCCGTTTGACATCTCCCTCCCCCTGAACGCCACCCAGTCAGAATCATTAGTAAGGCAGACTTTCAAAGCCTTGGCCGAGCACGGGCTGATGTTTTTGGGAACAAGGGCTACACGTGGCGTTGCTCTTGGTTCGGCTGCCGGGGAATATTCCGGCTGAGCAAAATCCATCTTGGGAAGGGCGCTCAAGCGAAGGGCTCCCTCTGAGGATCTGGTGCAGTGCGTGCAGAACACCCCAGGCGCCGCGTTCGGGCCATGCCATCCCCACCGGCCGATTGGGGGGAGGGGGTCTTGACCCTGGAGATCTGCGTTTTTCGCAAGTCATTTTGTTTGAAAACTTTAAAGGAGGCTTTTTTGGGAGTTCGTTTTGAATCGCAGGTATTTCAGACTGCTGGCGCCTTTCAAAAGCAGATCATGTGGGCTGATTTTTCGCGACCCTCAAGGATTGCGTGGAAGGGAAACCAAAGAAGAGGAAATTCGACACGCTGTTGCCCTCCCGCCCAGGGCATCCCTTGTGGGTTAAATGGGGCACCCTCGGCCTTCCAAGCTACACTGCACGGTCAGGGAGCTATACTTGACTGCCTCCGGCTCGTGTTCGCCGATACATGCCTGCTTGCTTATACGTGTCTTACAGGTACAGAGCATGTGCATAGAAACTCAATTTGGCAAAAAGCCTTTGGTTTGACTTCGGTCGAACGAAGGGCAGCCATTGCAAAGTGATCACGCACGGCTGCGTGCAATGAGCAGACATGGGTGCGTGGGCGATTTTTGGCCTCTGTTTTACACGTGCCACATATGTAGCAATGGAAATGGTTTCGAAGATGTGTGTGTGTGTGTGTCTGATGGACGGGGCTACTGACGCTATCAAACTCCGCTGTCGCTTCTTGTTGTTTTTGGACTGTAGCCATGGTCAACGTTAAGAAGATGTGTGTGATGGACACGGGTGCTGGTGATGTCCGACGCTTTTTGTTTGTCTTGTGCTCGCATTCGTTCGTCTGGAAAGGGTTCTACAAGACTTGGTTTGGTTTTCGTTTTCGGTTTCCCGGCTGCGAATGTATAGGTCTTTTTGCCACAACCCTTGTTGGAAAGGTCCCTACAAGACTTGGGTAGGGACCTTTGGCTCGCCTCTGTTTTTTGGGGGTTTTGTTCCGTAGCTGGGGAGGTGTGTTGTTGTTGTTTGCAAATTCCCCGGTTTTGATGCATGAGGGTGCTACTGATGCAACCCAGCACTGTCCTGCTGACGTTGCTTGCTTTCTCTTTTGTGTGCATTCGAACCTTTGGAAAGACCCTGAGTACGGACCTTTGGCTTGCCTTTGCTTGTTCAAGTTTCCCTAGCTGGGGATGCGAGTAGTTTTGTCTGCACATGTTTCTGTTTTGGAAAGGTCCCCAGAAGTGATTGATAGGGTGCTACTGGTTCGCGCAATTCCTTTGTTGCTGATGCTTTTTGTTTGATTCCTTTGGCTAGGCCCCCACTGGACTTGAGTAGAGGCCTTTAGTTTGCCTCACGGGGCTTGAGTAGGGGCCTTTGGTTTGCTTCCTTTTGTTGCCAACTCTAGACGCACTCGAACTAGTTTCAAACCTGCTCTCAAGAGCTACCCGACACACAACCTACACCATGTTTGCTTTACTGCAGGACGGAAAGCAGCCACTTTTGGTTGGCCTCTGCTTGTGCACGTTCCTGTCCCTAGCTGTAAGTGCCTGCAGTTGTTGTTTGCAGCTTCCCCTTTTTTGGAAAGCTTCCTCAAGTGAGGGATGTGGGTGCTACTGATGCAATCCAGCTTCTTGTTGTCTTGTCCTCCTCTTTTGTTTGCACTCTTTCCGTTTGAAGGGTCCCCCACAGGACGCTTGAAGGGCCTCCACAGACTTCAGTAGGGACCTTGGGCTTGCCTCTGTTCATGTTGCTTTCCCTATCCGGGGGTGCGAGTGCTTTTTGTCTGCAACTTCCGCGGGGGCTGCCAGGAGTGCTGGCTGGGGGATGCAATCAGTTTTCCGCTGCTCTGAGTTGCCTCCGTTTGTTCATGTTCTATATGTTCTTCTCCATAGCTGCGGATGCGTGTTGTTTTGTGTGCAACGTCTTTTGAAAGGCCCCCACATGTGGTTCTTTCCGTTTGAAAGGTTTTCGCAGGAGTTAGGTAGGGACCCGTGGTTTGCCTCCGTTCACGTTCCTTTCCCTGCCCAGGGGCGCCTCTGGCTGGCTTCTTCTTTGCAATGTCCTTTGCCTTGTTTGACACAAGAAAGGGCCTTGCGTTTCCACTCTGCTTGCTCATGTTTTCTAGGCACGTCATTCTGGCGCTTGGCTGCTTGCTCGCTTGTCTGTTTGTTTGTCTGTTTGTCTGTTTGCTTGTTTGTTTGTTTGTTTGTTTGTTTGTTTGTTTGTTTGTTTGTTTGTTTGTTTCAATGGTGGCGTTTGTTGTGTTTGTTTGTTGTTTGTTGTCTGTGTTCTTTTGGGAGTGGTTGTTGTGTGTTGTCGGGTTTGTTTTGTCTTGTTTGGTTTGCTTGGGTTTGGCGTGTTGCTTCGTGCTTTGTTTGTTTGTTTATGTTGCTATTTGTTGTTTTGTTTTTGTTTGTTTGTTTGCTTGTTTGTTTGCTTGTTTGTTTGCTTGTTTGTTTGCTTGTTTGCTTGTTTGTTTGCTTGTTTGTTTGCTTGTTTACCTTTGTGTTCGTTTGCCTTTAGCATGTAGTCGTGGTGTGTGCCTCTGTGTGCTTAAGGTGTGTGCAGTCCTGCAGGCTGCACGCGGATGTTCCTGGAATACGCTCGCGACTTTGTGGCCAACCTGCAGAAGAACGGAGACCCCTTCAGTCGCAGTACTCAGGCCCTGCTTGCGATTGAAAAGGAAGATCTAAGCCTCATGTCTGTTGAAATCATTCCCCCCCCCCCCCCCCCCCGCGCCCCACAAATAAATATTAAAGCTATTTGGGAGGCCCCGGTTCACATATCAAGTCGCGGCCCCTTTTGGATACATCTGCCCATGGTTTCCTTAGAAAGGTAAAATGGGGCCTGATGATTTCAGGTGGGGGAGGGGGGATGGCTCAATGACGGAATGTGTTTGCGAAGCTGGCAATCCAGCTGGCAAATTAGAAAGCCCGTCAAAAAGTCGATCCTTCCTTTTGCCAGATGGGTTTTTTTCCACCTGGCGTCCCGCTTCGGGGGCTCTCTCAATTCTGCCCCCACCCCCCCCACACTAACCCTCCCCCCGCACTCCCCCCCCCCCCCCCGGCACTCCCGCCCCCCCGAACTAACCCCCCCCCCTGTGAAAGCACCCCTTGGAACATCCACTTTGAAAACACGGGAGAAGGTCGGTTGGCTTGTCCGCCCGAAAGTGCACTCGCGAGGTCCAGGCTGGCGAAAGCGCCTGCATATCGAGTTTGCACTATCAGGACGCGCAAGGTATCCAGGCACCTGGTCTAGGTCCCCCAGGCTGCCCTTTCACCGTTTCTTTTTTGGTTGGGAGGGTTCCCCTACAAAATAGACTGCAAAACAAGGGGTGCCCGTATTCTAACCTCTCTACTGGAGGGCCTAGATGTGGGTGTAAATTTTAATAGGGGGCCAATTCAGTGGGGATTCATGTCCACCAAGCACTTTTGATGGGTGTATGGGTCGGTTGTTTTTCGAGGGCACATTTTACTTGGGTTGCTGTACAAGGAGGTCACAAGGAACCCCCGTTTGCCGGGTCATGCCGGGTCCACCATTTTGCGACAAACCCATACCTGAGCTCTGGCATGCAGCGCGCAATTGATGCTGTCACAGAGGTTGCTCGAAAATGCGTCAAAGTTGGCCCGGGGAGCCCGGTTTGGTCTGCTTTAGACATCTTGCGGGGCTAAGTAGTTGCAAAGTGACAAGGCCCTCAAAGATGTCAAACGGCATTCCCAACCTGGCAGTAGTATTCTCTTCATTTGTGCCCATAGGGTTCGGCTAGCTTTATTGTTTGCACTTTAGCGCATGCATTCCTTCCTGATAATCATAGCGGCTTAGCACGGCAGAAACGGGTTTGAGACGTCGTTGCTGAAATAAAAGAGCTGACCCGCCAACTGGCACTTCTGGACTTCCAAGTCGCAGGAAAATGTCATAGGTTCTTCGGCCTTTTTGGGTCAGGAGCTCTACCCAGATCCGCGAAAGATGTTCGACAACATCCTCGTGGGAGAAGCTCTCGCAGGCCTAACCTGGGCTGAAGATGAGGGGCCAGTGCCAAATGGATGTGTCGAGAAGCCCTTTCAGTACCAGGGGTTGGTTCATGTTGACCCCGGATTAATAAATCCCAGTTTATTACTCGGGGGTGGGTGTCCCTAGGTTTAGCGGGGGATCATCACTTTTGGAGGGGCCCCCACCCCCATATTTTCATAAACTGGGGTTGATCAATCTGGGGTCAACATGACTCACGTGCGAGATGGTTGAATCAGCTTTTCCACTTCGGATTGGCATGCCTCATCTCCTTCGAAAGGGGACAGGTTCAGTGATTCAGACAGGCGGCGTGATCCTCTGAGTTGTGCGGGTGCTTGAAGAAAGGAGCACGATGCCGACGTCGCATGGTGCAGGGGATGGAAAGAAGCCACGATGCAAGTTGACTGTGTCCTGGGCGTCCCTTGTTGCAAACGTGTTTTTGAAGTCCGAGGGGGTGTGTATGCACGGGCCAGGCAGTGTGGCGGCTTCAGAATCGGAAGCAGAGGATGCCGAGGCGAGCCGAAGTGTAGCTTCTTCGAGATGTGTAAAGTGCATTGGGCGCTGTTGGGGTGCACTGAGGTTTCTCTCACTTGGTTGGGTTGGTGTTTCGGATTTGGATTTGACCCCTAGTTCTTGCAGAGGGTAAATGGGAGGCCACCCCACCAAATCACCAACCATCAACTGGAAGCAAGCTGAACCACGGCATTGCACCGGCGCTGTTTGCAAGATTTTGCTATGCGCTTGGAAAGGGGTCCCGTGCAGTTTTATGTTGGCGGGAGTGTGCACCTTCGGAATCCCAAAAAGACACCCCACCCATTTTTGATGGGCGGGGGCGGGGGCGGACCCGTTTGAAAACAAGCACCTGGCCATGCAAAGAATGCCCGCGGTGCCGCAGTTCACTCACACCCCAAGAAAACGTTGAGATGGTACCAAGAGATTTGCAGGACCCGTTATGTCGTTATGGGGTACAGCTATACTACATACATTCGCATATGTACATACATGCACACATCTTCATATCTATATATACATATGTATGGATGTAGAAATGTATCAAAACACAGGTGTACTGTACTCATACATATATATATATATATATATATATTATAAATACATCTATACATGCTCACATCTACATACACCTAAAATACATACACATGTGTCTTGGCTATGGAGTTTCCACTGCTTCCCCTGAGCAGTGAGCACTCCTCAGGCAACACGGCGGATCTCAGAGTCCCAACTTTCAGGCAACAAGGCCCGGGGGGGGGGGTGCGAAGCTGAGCTGACGGCTTCCCTGCAGAAGAAGTTGTGTGGTGTTTTGTTGAGGGTACATATTTGTTGGGTTTTGTTGTTTTGTTTTGTTGAGTTTTTGTTGTGTTGTGGTTTTGTTGTGTTGCTTCGATTTTCACCAAACATGCAACATATTTTTCAGGATGGCTGAATTGTAATTGTATATAGTATGGAGCAGAATCAGAACATGTTATGTTCATGTTTTCTGTGGGCCAAGCTTTCGGGGTTGGTTTTAATGGAAACCAGAGAGGGGAGGTTTTAGGTGGATTCCCAAGCAACCCTATTCTGCAAATAGGTTTCATCACAAGATATGGTTGTTCGGGAAACCACTTTGGGAATATTGAGGTGTTTCCGTCAAGTGAAGATTGAGTTAGCCCCAACCCCCATGAAGCCACTGCTTGTGACAACGGCCGCTGCATTTTGGCGGCCATTCGGTAGCGGAAGCGGCCTAGAGAAGTTCTCTGGTTTCTCAGGCCGGCAACATCCCCCTTGCCGCAACCCTTCGGAGAAAATCCGAGTCGCGTGTACATCTAGAAAGGCATCAAGGTTTTTATGTAGTTTAGCATGGAGCTCCGTTTGGAGGACCTCTTTGTTGGGCTCCAAGTTCAATTTTAGAGGGAGTAACTTGTTGTGAAACTCTTAACACGGGTCGCATGGCAAGGTTAAGTTGCCAGTCACGCCTTGCCCATTCGAATACAGACCTGTTGCTGTGTTGGTTTCAATATCATGTCCACAAGGATGTTGGGTTCCCTCCGAGACGTCCGTTCGTGCCGCTTTACCCATCCCGCAATGTGGCTACCATGCTTCGGACCGTATATGCTTACATGCGTGCACGTTACCAGCTTTTTCGGCCGGTATAAAGCGGCATGAAGGGGCTCCAGTGCTTCCGGGTTCATTGTTTGGCCGGAGAATCGGGTGTGTCGAGGCAACCAGAAGGAGCTTAAACACTGCTTAGACATGTTCAATCAAGGGGGTGGCCCTGTGCTGGTCGAGGGTATGGCGGATTGAATTTTGGGCAACTGCCACGGCCCAATGATGAAGCTTTCCCAAACAGGTCTGCACCCAGTCAAACTAGGACCCGGAAATACCAGAGGCGAGGCCGAGGATTCATTCACCAGAAACACCGGATTTTGACTATTCAATCAGCGGTTCATTGCTGCGCCAACTGCCAAAGGCGCGGCGCTACGCCTCAGCACGGCAGAATTCGTAACTAGGCCCATTCTGTGAACAGGCTTGATCACAGGCTGGACAAGTGGCCACGCACTGCGCTGTCCAATCCCTTTGTCGTTTCAAGCCACGCCAGGAGGTGAATCATGAGATCTTAGCGCTCCTTTCCCCAGGGTTGTGGGATCAAGGGGTTTACCCCCTTCTTTGATACAAGGGAATCTCCCCCTTAGGGGGCTACCCTCTCTCCCACTAACACGGCAGCTGACGAGGGAAACTGATCTTCCAGGTGCCATGTTAGTGGGAGGAAGGGTAGTCTGTGGGAAGCCCTTTCTGTTGTATCGCAGAAGTGGGTTCCATTTCCCACAGCCCTGCCTTTCCCTCTTTCATCATTTCAGGAGAGCTGGCTCCTGCGACGACAAGACTCTGCCCTGATGGCCGTCAACAGCAAGGCCAATTTATGGGGGTGTCATTTTTTTGTAGGGAACCCGCTCTGAATGGTTTTTTGGGGGTTTCCCTTGGAATGACTCATTCACTTTTATAATGTAGCTGCGTAGGTTGCAGCTGCTGTTGCCCTCACACTGTTAAATTGCAGAGGCTGACGCCTGCATGCCGCCCACCCCACAAAAGCTGAGGGATGAAATGCCAGCGTGCGAGGATTTTGCAAACTTATGCAGGACCTTCGGGGCAGTTTGAACATAGCAGAGCTGCTTTTGGGACCACCCTTCTTTGGAGCTGACGGACAGGATGCGCGATTTGGACTCCATCCGGACTCACGGGTAGTTCCTTGTGTTGCACGGGTTCCCAAGCTCATATGTTGGCCTGTAAGCAGATGCACCAGTGCTGCTGGTGCGCTGGGTGGAGACAGAGCATGCAAGGATGCAAGCCACGGCAATGTAAGCCGAAGCCCTCTGTTTGGATGGAGCGGCAGCAGCCATGCCTAACGACAGCGCTGGAAGACTTTTCCTTCCTGTGCAGCTCCCCAAAGTTTTGGCACTTTGTCAGGAAGACCTGTCGGGGTGTGGCCCGCGTGAACTTGTAAGTTCCGCGCGAGGACAGAGAAGTTAGAGGTTAGAGGTTAGAGGTTTTAGAGGTGAGAATTTGACTTTAGGGGTCAGATAAGCTAGCGGTCAAAGGTGGAGGATAGAAAAGTTAGGCGTGCTTCTAGACCAAGACGCTGGTGACTGCGTTTAGTGAACGAATGACATGTTTCCAGACTAAAGAAGAGTTAGAGCCAGAGGCTAGAGAAGTTGAGGTTAGAGGTAGAGGTTGGAGTGGTTAGAGGTTAAAAAGCAGTTGGAGCTTAGAGAAGTTAGAGAGTGGTTAGGGTTAGAGGTTAGAGTTGAGGTTATGTCAAACACCTGCTGAACTGGGCCTCCGTTTGGGGCTGCGTGGGCTTTCGTGGGGCAGCCTCTTACTATCCTGTCAGGTCATGCGCGAGCAATAGGCCCACGCGATGGAGGAGAAGCTTTGGGAAAGCCTAACTTATGTACCACCGCCTTTCCAGTAAGAGTAGTGCACCTGGCCTGTCGCTTTTGATAGGTCGTTGCCCTCCCCCCCTCTCTCCGTGCTTCTCTGCAGGGCGTAGGGCTGGACTGCAGCTAGCCGCTATGCCCCAAAGGCCCTTTCCACCCCGCCCGTGAGGAAAAGCCTTGCGCCAGGCTTCCATGCGGAGTGAAAAGGAGAGCCAGGACGCTCAAGAGTTTGGCCTGGCTGGCCTGGCTGAGGCGGGCGGCTTCATTGGATCGGATGTTTGCGGCTGGGGGCTCCAAGCCCATGACCAGAGCGTTTGCTCGACTTGCACCAAATGAGAAATGCATGGCCCCGCCAAATACGGAAGTTCCTTTTCGGCGCGGCACAATATTTTAGTTCAGGGGGGTTGCGCTACGGTCCTCGAATGGTGTCCACTCTTTGCTCGGCACACAAGCATATCTGCCGAGTAATTCAGGAGCTTAAACATAATCGTTCAAGGCACTTTTTTAGAACTGAATTATCAATTCAATATTAAAAGGCAAAGTTAAAATTCAAACTTACCAATTGAAAACAATTTGTCTTATGAAGCTAGTTCTGAAATAGGGTTGGGACATGTTGGGTCTGACAAAAACGACAATTTACCAACTGTGCCTTTATTAATAGGCGAACGGATCAGTTTCAAATCACTTTAGTCACATGTCAACTGCTTAAAACCTACCCAGGCTGCGCATTGTTCAAAGCCTCATACGCGAACACACACACACACACAACCCTGCAGACACACCCACACGCACACACACACACACAGACGCGGAGACACACACACACACACCCACCCACGCACGCACGCCCGCACGCCCGCACGCACGCCCGCCCGCCCGCCCGCCCGCCCGCCCGCACGCCCGCGCGCGCACACGCACGCACGCACGCCCGCGCACACACACACACACACATACATACATACATACATACATACATACATACATACATACATACATACAGGCACAGACGCAGAGAGGCACGCGCACACACACACACAGACAGCACGCACACACAGACACACCCACAAACACACACATTTACAAGCACGCACACGCAGACGCAAAGAGAGAGGCAGAGATAAAAAGCAAGTACACACGCACACAAAACGCGCGCCCGCGCGCACGCAAGTGCATCTGCACCCAGCTCTGCACTCCCTTGGGCGTCCGCCAACATGCCCGCACACACACCCACACATGCACACACATAGGCACACTCATGCAAGCATGCAAGCCCGCCTGCCCGCCAAAGAGAGAGAGAGAGAGAGAGAGAGAGAGAGAGAGAGCGAGAGAGAGACAGAGAGAGAGAGAGAGACAGAGAGAGAGAGAGAGACTCCACTTCCCCCAAGCCCAAGGCCTAGTTCTTTGTATATGCTTGCTTGCACTGTCACCCTGCATGTTTGATTTGTTTTATGAATTCGTATCCCTTGCATAGAAGCGTCTTGCATGGCATTTTACTGCGCTGAAGACCTAGGTCTAAAACCTCCAGGAACAAACAACAGCGTCCATGCTTCCTGCACTTTGATGATCATTTTTTGTTTCAATCATATTTACCACGATTTACCGCTTTGTTCGATCTTAAATCTTCGCATGTATGTTCCCTGAGATTGTGACACAGGATCGGGCCGTCGGTTTAGGCGGGGACTTGTTTATCGCGAATTTCCTTGGTCAGGGTTCCACTTTTTGACTACCGCGCAGTAGGCTTAAACTCGGGGGTGGTTCATTCCCCCTAAAAGGAGAACCCCTGGGTTTAAGCCTATCTTGGGGTAGTCGAAAAGTGGAACCCTGTTTTTGGCTTTCCTTCAGCAACTGCTTTCCAGTTTGTCAGGCTGTCTTGTCACGGCCAGGATGCCATGCAGGGCAACCTCACCGAGGATGACGACGCCTTGTGCAAGCGCCTGAGGCCAGCCAAGACAAACCTGGACCTCGGGCCCGTTGACCAACCGCCAGGTCTCTTCCTGCTTATATGTGTTTATTTTCCCCTGCTGGTTTTAAAAAGAACCTATCACTACTGGAAATATTGTTTATTTTTCCTAGGGTCTCAACCAAATGAAAGGTCTTGAAGAATCAACAATTGTCAAAGTGCCTGCTGCTGGAAACCAGAAGGTGAACGAGCATGCAAAGCGTTGGGCCAGGGGATTAACCTTGCGAAGGCTGCGTGCTCGAAAACATTAGTTATGTGCACCCATGACAAGACTTGGTTTGGCACATGCTCGGC